GCCTTAAACCATTCAAGAATCGGCCATGGTTTCTTCTTTATTTTCTTGAACATCGGCTTGTAGCATCAAGATCTCCATCTCCTTGTAGTATTCATCGACGCTTTTGTTGCCTTGTACAAGGGTTTGTAGCTTCTGATACAAATCCCTATAGTAGTGTCCTGGTAAAAAATGTGTTCTCATCATTCCCTTTAGCTCGGTCCATGTGTTGATCTTGGGCAACCTACTTCTTCTCCGAGACAGCTTAAGTTGATTCCACCACACGATTGCATACTCCGTGAATTCAATTACTGCCAACTTAACCTTTTCTTTATCGGTGTAGTTTTGGCAAGCAAACACCATCTCGATTTTGGAGTCCCATTCGAGATAAGCCTCAGGATTGGAACCTCCCTTAAACTCTAGAATTTTCATTTTGATTCTCTTAAAATTGTCGGGTTTATTTGGTCCCCTTGACTTAGATTTGGAACGTTTGAAGAGTTCCTCTTCTTTGTCATTGGAATCCGCAAACTCCTCCATGTACCTCCTCCTATGAATGGTTTTGGAAGGATTAGGAGTGTCTTGGGAGTTATTACCCGCCAACTTCTCATGAATCAGGTCTAAAGTATCGGCTAGCATTTTCTCCAACATTCCTTTGAATCTTGTTTCAAACATGTCAGCAAGCATTTTCATATCAATGGGTTGAGGATTTCCTTCACTTTCTCGAGACATGATACTTTATCCTACAAAACAATGTTAGTGAAATAAATATACCTCACTTCACTCCCTTACGTATTTATTCTCGCACTCGTGTATCACTCAAGAGTGCACTTTAAGAATCTCACAATGTAGCTTCTCACAGCCCTTTTGCAACCCTTGAAGAAGTTAGAACTCCCTCAAGTGAGCAACTCAACTTACCAATGTCAAAATCTCCAGTGATTGTAGCAATATGGCTATCGGTTCGCTTGGGATTTTATGGCGAGCAAAGATGACTAATGAAGGTAGCAAATAATGAAACTTTGATGACTCTAAAATACAATGAAAAGACTGGAAAATAGCGCAAGAATACTCGAAATTTGCTGCTGGAAAAAGAATGGAAATAAGTGACTAGAATTTGGAAACTAGAATTTGGAAACTAGGGATTGGAACTAGAATTTGCTACAGTAGTGATGAACAGTAACTATGCTACAGTATGACCTTTTTTTTTTACACGAATAGACTGTAAACCACGGACAAGCAGGTTGGACACAACACAAGACACACGATAAGAGGCCGAAATTGAGGCAACACAAGTGGAAACAATGGGCAGATTTGGCAACAAGATGAAGAACAAAATCCTAGGTGATTAGGAATGGCACAAAAGGTACGATAACACTAGAAATAAAAGATATAACTTGAATACCATCAACCAACTCTGATACTAACTGATATGAATCCCATGGGTGCGACAGAGTTCATGATCACAAGCCCGGATCTTGATAGTGGAACTCAAATTTAGATTGGCAGCGAAAACCTTACGACCCCTCTAATCCCCGAAATTGCGAACAATCTTGATATTATCTCAACCCACAAACTAACGGATTAGCGAACCAAAGGTGTTAGTAGAAGGCGCCACGATCAAGTGCGATTCTTGATTGATAAGCCAGAGCCTAAACGCTTAGAGCACCTCTAAGGTATTCAAGAGAAGTTCGGAACTATGAGAAAAGCTCACTCGAGTTGCTGGAAAATTTCTTGTTATCTTATTATGAATGAAAATGACTCTTATATAGATTTTACAAGGCCCTCAAAAACTACTAAGTTTAGGAAACTTAAAAGCGAAACACATTAGGAAACTAACCATACGACTTAACCTACTTGGTGTTGGAAACAATGCAAGTTTCCTTATTTCACTCGACTCTTAACTAAACATAATCGAATGAGACACAACTATCATGCAATATAGGTTAGGCTTCCAAGACTTCATCTTCAATCTTGCACATCCGCGACTTGAATGCAATTCACGAGCTTGCTTGTATCTTGATCAACATCCCTAATAATCAAGAACCCTTTGAACGACGCATGGGCAGCTTGGACAAGAGCATTAAGTTGTTCTTTGAGACGCTTAGCTTGAGTTTTGTAATTGGTCCGATTGGCACACGAACTTGACTTGAAGCTATTGGACCCTCGACACTACCATCCGAACCTTGAATAGCCATGACGCTATTATTAAGCATGCGTTTTCAGGTCGCGTATTAGTTCGTCTTCATAATTTCTTGAGAAAATGCATCCTCAAAACGTGGGTATCAGCTCGCGTGTTCCCATGCCTACGTATTTCAATTCCCCAAAAAGGGAAACTTTGCTCAACATTTCTTTTTTCTTCTTTTTATGGGCAAAACACATGCACTTCACTTATTTTTCAAATTTCTTGATCAATCAACACTTGTATTCACCATTAACATTATTTGGAGTAGTTTTTAACATTCAAATGCATCATTGGTGTATTTAATCTTCATGAGTCCTTATTAAGTTCAATTTGCATAAAGTTCATGTTAAGGCTCATTTGAGTGTGAAAATAGTTCAGTCACATTTCATTTCACTCATATAACTATTTTGAGGTGAATTTCTTTAACTTTGCATGCTAGTTTGCATTTTCACCTTTTCGACTCTATTCTCATTTGTGCATAGGTTTGTATGATGAATATATGAAGGTGCTTTAGGATGCATAAACTTACTAAATGACTCTGTATGGCTTTTTTTTTTTTGAGATTCAAAACATACATTTGCATATTAATTGCATGGTGAATCATTAGGGTCAATATAGTTTCATTATTTGATCATTTACGTATCATATGCACTTCTTGGACCTTAGTAGTAAAGTTTGTTGCTTTTGTTTTCAATTTTTTGCAAACTAACGGTTATTATGTGAAACTTATAATCTTTGATTTTCATTTATGTAGATAATGGTTAAATTTCAAGAAAGATGAGGTCATCAAAGATCCCAAATAAGAGGCCAATTCACCATGGAGGGAGTATTTCTTTTACCCTTGCTTTTCCTTTTCACACATTGAGAACACTGTGCAATTTAAGTGTGGGGAGAGGTTTACTTCCTTTTTAATTATGGTGATTAGAGAAAAATGGTATTTTCATAATTTTGTCAATTTTCAAAGAAGTCCATAACCATTAGTAGTCAAAATTCTTCATTTGGAGTAAAATTTATGTGTCTTAAGAATCTCATTTCCTATTTGATTTGGAAATAACTCTTATGTGACTAGAATTTTTGCTATGAAGAAAGTATACCTTGTAAAGTGGAAGTAATTATACCTTAAATTTTACATGCTTGATAAGTTTTCTATCTTGATTGAATTTCACAATTTGAGTGATGAATATGGCCAATATTTACATTATTTTTTGTATAGTCATTCTATATGAGGGAAGTTATTAAAAAAAAAAGAGAAAGAACAAATAAAAGTGCCACTCTAATGATTCTTGAAACTTAGTAATCTCGAGTCTTCATCTACAAATGTTGATTTTTGCATAAAATGGCTCTTGAATTGTGAGTATGCAAAAGCAACTCTAGTTAGTGATGGAGGTCTTTATCTACCAATGTCGATCTTCACATCAAAAGATATCTTCACTACTTGAGGAAACTATTTGTTGTGTATTGAATAAATCCCTCTTTTGAGTAAATAAAGATGATCATGGAATTTGTATGCCTTGACTTGGCCATATGAGTTTCATAAAGCTGAAATTGAGTTGAGGGCATTGGCGGATTTAAGGTGGCGCCCCCACTGCCCCTCTTAAATTCCTATAGTACACATAGAATTTTGTGATATAATCTCAAGTGTGCTCTCTAAAGTTTTCTTATGAATGATGTGAAAGAATTATGTGGTCCTATAAGTTAGTTCATAAATTAAAATTCTAAAAGAATATGTGGGCCACAAAATTTCATTTTAAATAAGCTAAAAAAAACCTTTTCATTTCAACTACCAGGTACCAATCATATCATTCACTTCCTTTGGTCCCCACTCCCCAGTTTCCCTTCCCTTCTCTGGTCCCCTATTTTCCCCCCATAACCAAGAACCACTCTTCCTTCCCTCCTTTGGTCCCCTGTTTTCTCTACTTTTTCTCTTGATCACTTCATCTGATTCAGAGATTGCACTAGAATCAGTTGATCTTCTGAGTCCACCACTGATCATTGCAACTTTTTTCTAAATTTTTCACCAACTTTTGGAGGTCATCAAAATCATGTTCAAAACAATTACTTCTTCTTATTGTTATTTTGAACTTCTTTGCAAATATATTTCTAGAGCATGAGACTATTACTATTTTAAAGAAATTTAAAAACTGATTAGTTAGTGTAATAACTAATAAATGGATTATTTCATAAATATTTTAACTTGTGAAATGGTGCTTTTATGGATTTCTAATTTATTTTTTATTTGCCTTGATTAGTTTCTTGTATTGGAGTTAATGTAATGATGAATAGAGGGCCATTTGACATATATTTTTGACTTTCAAATTATTCTTATATGGATCCTTTTGTCTAATTAACTTGATAAGGTTCATATGTTGGGGTGAATGATTTGATCTAGTAATGAATAAATAAGTCATTTAATAAATAACTTTAACTTGTGAAATAGTTCTTGGATAGATTTTATTGTCTATTTAATATTTTAATTTGATTAGTATCTTATATATTGATTTTAATTTCTTTAGCTATGGAGAGATATTTCAAGAGAAAGTCAATGGAAAAAGAGTCATCTAATAAAGAAGAAACAAGGATGATGAAAGTGCAAAAAATGACAATAAAAAAAGTTGCTTGGGGATTAACTTAGATGAATTACCTGCAGATCTAGCCCAAAGGAAAAAAATTGAGGATTATCATCCAAACCTTCAAGATGAAATTCGGAGATATTACTTAAAAAAGGGACCATATCAACCTCGTGAGCATGTTTTTCCACAATGAATGATAGGAACAAAGATACATCGATTTGTCCGGGGCTGGTATGATGATTACAAGAATTAGTTGGAATATAGTATTGAAAAGGATGTCGCTTATTGCTTATGCTGTTATCTATATAGACCAGATGTGGGTGAACAATCTGGTGATGATAATTTCATTAAGGAAGGATTCACAAATTGGAAAAAAAAAAGGATAGATTTGATGTTCATGTTGGTGGTCCTACCAGCACACACAATCTAGCTTGGAGTAAATGTCAAAATTTATTAATCAAAATCAGCACATTGAAGTGGCAATTTTTAAGCAATCAGAGAAAATGAAGGCTGAGTATCGGACTCGTTTATTAGTCTCAGTAGATTGTGCTAGATTTCTCCTACACCAAGGTTTGGTTTTCGTGGTCACGGTGAATCTAATATCTCGAAAAGTCAGGGAAATTTCTTGAACTTCTGCACTTCCTTACCGGTCATAATGATGATATAAAAAAGGTTGTTCTTGAAATTGCCCCTAAAAATCTCAAACTCATTGCTTGAATATTCAAAAGGATATTACAAATGCTTTGGCAAGCGAGACTACAAGAATTATTGTAAATGACTTTGGACATGGATTGTTTGCTATTTTATGTGATGAATCTTATGATGCATCAACAAAGGAGCAATTGGCAGTTGTTATACGTTATGTAGATTTACATGGATATGTGATTGAGCGTTTTCTTGGCATTCTACATGTAAGTGATGCTACTGCTCTTTCACTTAAGAAAGCAATTGATGTTTTATTTTCAAAGCATGGTTTGAGCATATTACAAATCCGTGGTCAAGGTTATGATAGTGCTAGTAACATGCGAGGTGAATATAGTGGTTTAAAGACTTTGATCATGAAGGAAAATGGTTCTGCATATTATATTCATTGTTTTGCACATCAACTTCAACTGTCACTTGTAGGGGTTGCAAAGAAACATGTCCAAGTCTCTTCTATGTATAATACATTGTCTACCTTAGTGCATGTTCTTGAAGATTCATCTAAAAGATAAGAAATTCTTAGAGAACAACGACTTAAGAAAGTCATTGATGATCTAATGACTGGAGAACTTGTGAGTGGTCAGGGCTTAAATCAAGAAACTAGCCCTCAAAGAACTTGTGATACACGTTAGGGTTCACATTTTGGATTGTTGTTAAAGTTGATTCTTATGTATGATTCTGTAATAGATGTTGTTTTGATAATTGAAAATGATGGTCTTGTGGAGCAAAAAGGTCAAGCATATGCATTTCTTAATTCTTTGCAATCTTTTGAATTTGCATTTATTTTACATTTGATGAAGAAAATCATGGGAATAACGAATGCACTATCTGAAGCATTACAAAGGAAGGATCAAGATATTGTCAATGTTATGGGTCTGGTCAAAGTTTCCAAGCAACAATTACAAGCGACTAGGGAACATGGATGGGATTTTTTACTTGATGAAATTTGTTTGTTTTGTAAAAAACATAAGATCATCATTCTGAAAATGGATGAAATATTCATTACTAGTGGGAGATCTCGAAGAAAAGTTCAACAAATTACAAACCTTCACCACTATCAAGTTGAGCTATTTTGTGCTGTGACAGATTTACAACTTTAAGAACTCAACAATCGTTTCAATGGAATTAATATGGAGTTGTTTCTTTGCATGGCATGCTTGAACCCAAATGATTCCTTTGCAGCATTTGATAAGAAAAGTTGATTCATCTTGCAAAACATTATCCTTGTGAGTTTTCTAAGTTGAATGTTCTTGCGCTTGACACTGAATTGGATACTTATATTAATGACTTGAAATCAGCTAAGGAATTTCTAGATTTAAGAAAAATCTCTGATCTAGCTCAAAAGTTGGTGAAGACTAAAAGAGATATTGTGTATCCATCGGTTTATATGCTCTTAAAGTTGGTTTTGATTTTGCCTGTTGCTACAGCTACCATAGAAAGAGCTTTTTCAGCTATGAATATAGTGAAAAATTGGTTACGAAATAGAATGGGAGACACTTGGATGAATGATTATTCAATTACATATATTGAAAAAAATATAATTCATGAAATTCAAAATGAGAAAGTTGTAAAACGTTATCAAAATATAAAAATTCGTTATGAGTAATTGTAAATGGTTTAGTTTGTTTTTTGAAATAAAATTATTATTACATTAATAATTTTGATTTTGTCTTTTTATGCATTTCATGGAATATATGCATCATTTGTACTTTTTGGTGAATTTTTTTTTTTTTTTGCTTAAAATACTAGAGAAAGAGTAGAAAAAAATTTTAGCTCTACTAAGAATTTTTTCTGACTCTGCTATTGGTTGAGGGAAGTAAATGAATTCAACGAGTCTTAACTCTTAATATAATTCTCTCTCATTTACTTGATATGATAAGTATTTATGATGAAAAGAATGATTATATAATGGTGGTTTACCTTGTTATTGAAGAAATAAATATGAAAGACATAGGCAAAAGGGATATATTCGAACTATTATGATAGTTTGTAATTCTTAATTGCTTGAGAACAATTAATAGTTTAAGTGTGGAAGAATTTAATAAGTGTGCATTTTGAGTGATTTAAGTGTAATTTTTTCACGTAAATAGGGATTTTATTGAAAAGAACATGAATGTACACAAGAGCAGAGGAATCTGCTACACAAAAGTACTGCGACAACCAATTAAGCTATACAATAGTATTGCTACAATGAACTAAACGCCGATTATGCTATCAACATTTAAGCTATACAATAGTATTGCTATAATGAACTAAACGCCGATTATGCTATCAACATTTAAGGGAAATCACTTGGGAAAAATCCCAACTAAGGCAAAATAATCAGTTGTCTCTTGTACTTGATACATTCCTCCATTTTGCCACACAGCAGCGAATCTCCTTTAGCTCTCTGCGTGCAACAACGTCAGCATCAGAGACTTTATATTGGACCACCCTATAATTTCTCTCCTTCCATATATAATATACAGCTACTCCTAGTGCCAACTTCTTTACTGTGTTTATAAAGCATTCTTTCTTCCAATGACAACTAAACCATTCAACTTTAATATCCATTCATAAGTCCCTTGATATTGCAAGCAACATTGCTGTATTCTTGACCAAATATAAGCTGCATACTCACATTGAAAAAAGAGATGATTACAAGATTCATTTCCAGTACAGCATAGTATACATTTCATTTCAGTCATAATGCCCCATTTAACCAGCCTGTCCTTTGTGCTTAATTTGTTCTTGCACAACAACCATAACATAAATGAATGTTTTGGGATATATTTTTTGAACCACACAAGATGATGCCGATAGACCTTAGTAGCAAAATGATTCAACACTTCAATTGTAGATTTGACAGAGAACAAACCTGATTTACTAGGCAACCATTTCACTATATCTGACATTTCCTCGCTTAATGACTGTCTAGAAGGAACAAATTGTGCAAAATCATCTACTTTAGCTATTCTTCTCCTACTATTGGGGATCTTCCACTCTCCATTTTCAATGAAAGAAGAAACCTTAGCCTGTAACGTACTTCCAAACTGTCACACCATATTGGGCCCATAAGCTATCAACAATGGCCCTCTATGGTGCTAATTATCATACCAGAGATAAGTATTTTCTCCACTTTTGATCACTGAGGCAATAAAAGGCTGTATAATAGATTTGATCTGAAGGAATTTATGCCAAACCAAAGAACAAGATTGATGCAATGAAATAGACCAGAAACATTTATTTTTGAGCTCCACAGTGTGAACCCAAGCAATCCAAAGAGATTCCTTTTTAAGTGCTATGTGCCAGATATACTTAAACAATAATGCCTTATTCCAATTAGCCAAATTAGGTAATCCTAGCCCTTCTTGTTTAATAGGTTTGCTCATTTCCTTCCAACATGCTTTGATCCCATTCTTGATAGAATCTATTCCTTTCCATAAGAATGCAGTAAGCATAGATTCAATCCTCTTAATAACAACTCGTTGTAATAGGAATACACTACTCTAATAGAACTGAACACTAAGCAACACTGACTTAACCAATTGCAATTTACCAGCGTAAGTTAATAGTTTATTGCTCTACCCTTCTATTTTCCTCCTTATCTTCTCAATGATAGGGGAGCAATTCTTGAAGGATAATTTGATATTTATCAAAGGCACACCCAAATATTTGACAAGTTGATAGCCTCTCTTGATTCCTAGGATCTTACATAGTTCTAGGCCTTGCTGTTCATTAACACCTGATAAGAAGACCTCACTCTTGTACAAATTAAGGGATAGTCCTAATAGATCAGAGAATTCCTCAATAATGGATTTCATGATATTAAAGGAACCAGGGTTTGCAGCAGAAATGAGGAATAAATCATCAGTAAAAATGAGGTGAGATGTTCCAAGTTATTGGCATTTTGGATGAAATTGAAAGTCAGGTCCTTTGGCAGTTTCATCAAACAAAAGAGAGAAAATTTTCTTTACAAGAAGGAAAAGATATGGTGAGATGGGATCACCCCGTCTTAATCCTCTAGAACTGGGAAAATACCCAACTAAAGCTCTCTTCATGTTCTGTGAAAACAATCCTTTCTTAATCCAACAAATGAACTTTTTAGGAAAATTCATACATTCCATAATAGTGAATAAGAAATCCCATCTAATAGTGTCGTAGGCTTTAACCAAGTCAATTTTCATAGCACATTTAACCTGTCCAGTATTCCTGTGGTACCCATTTACAATGGCATGCATCAAAAGTATATTATCTGAGATCACTCTACCTTTTAGGAAGGCATTTTGGCGATTACATATCAATTTTGGTAGCACTTTCTTAATCCTTTTAGTTAAGATTTTGGAGAAAACCTTGTAAACTGTATTACAGCAAGATATAGGCCTATATTCTTTCATAGTTGATAGGTTAGGCACTTTTGGAATTTGAGAAATGATTGTACTATTCAATAGAGGATAAAATTTGCTATCACTAAAATAGTATTTAACAACTTTGATAAAGTCAATTTGCACAACTCCTCAATTTTTTACAAAAATTCTACAGGAAAACCATCAGGTCCCGGAGTCTTACCTTGCTTCATAGAGAATAACACTGACTACACTTCACTATTAGAGATTTCTTTTTGGAGCTCATTAGCCTAGTCATTGCTTATTTTGTTTACAATAAGTTGACACAATCTAGCACTGTGTACTTTAATAAAGGTCCCTTTTTCAGAAAACAAGTCTTGAAAGAAATTCACTGTGATGCTCTTGACCTCCTCATAATCCTCCACTTTATGTCCACTGCTATTCTGAATAGATAAAATACTATTCCTCCTCTGATGCATTTTCATCTTCTTATGAAAAATTTTTGTATTCCTATCCCCTGAGAGTAGCCAATTAGTTTGGGACTTGTCCTTGAAAAATTGTTCCTCAACAATTAAAAGACAAATATAAGCTGATAGACATTTCTTCTCGATAAATTGCAAGTGTATGCCATAAGGAGCCTATTGTAGTTGCCTTTGAGCAGAGTATAGAGCCTCTTGTGCATGGATAGTTTTGGCAGAGATATTCCAGAATTCTTTCGTATTTAACTCTTTTAATGTTATCTTCACCTCTTTTAGTGTCAAACAGAAAGTCCTCATGGGGGGTCACCTTGAAATTTAGTAGACCATGCCTTATGAAGTAGCTGAGGAAAATCATTGTGAGACATCCAAAATCTATGAAATTTGAAAGGATTAGGTCCAAAATTAAAATATTTCTTAATAATAAGTAATCCAGCACAATGATCTGATACTCCAAGATCCACAAACTCAGCTTCTTGATGAGGAAATAATTGCATCCATTTCTCATTACATAATATCCTATCAAGTTTGCAATAGAGCCGATCTCGACCAAACCTTCCATTGCACCAGGTAAGTAAATAGCCTTTGAATGGCAAATCATCAACATTAATTTGTTGAAGCAATCTTCAAATTTAGATATTGCAGGCTGGTCTCTTTCCATATTACCAGATTTTTCATAATCATAACGGATTATATTGAAGTCCCCCATTA